TATAACATCGCAACATATATACCCCCACTGGAGAAATCTTTATTACTTCACTTTTAAAAAACCATTTCCCCTAAGGAATATTCATAAAATTCAAAGATTATGTTGTGAAATTTCGCGGAATTCTAAAAATATTCTAGAGTTCTCCCCATTCCTAATTTATTATTATATATAATATATTTATATATTATATATAATTTTAATTACTTACTATATTTCAAAATCGCTGAAATACAGGACTTTTTGTGAAATTTCCTGGATATAAATTAATTATTAAATCCGACATCAGAATTTTTGCAATGAAGAAAGCTAATTGCATTTAGTATGAATTTCCACAATTGTAAAAATTGAATCCTTCAGACGTGATTTTTATGGAAATGAATTATATTCTGAAAATTAATTACCTAATTTGTCAATACCGATACATGCGAGAAATAAGTTCTTCGAACGCGACAGCTAACTAACTACCTTTTCTAAATATCTTATCTTCTACATTAAAAATTTTTAAAGTTCCCGCGTAAAACTCGATTAATTATTTTTTACATTGCGCCCTGAATCACCATAAAAGTGCAGCTAAAACTCCCGCCACAAATTTGTTTGGCATAAATGAAAACACTATCCAGTTTTTCTCGGAATGAGTCATTCGTAAAAATCGAAACTAATAGTCACTCTCCCAAAAATAGCTCTCATCTTTTCCTCAAATAATTTAAACAAAAAAAAAAATTGCTTTCTGATAACAATAATTCAGGAATTTGAAATCACAATTCCGTTTCTAAACTCAATTGAATCCACTGAGTTAAAATCGGGTAGGAACCGATTGAAACATTTTTTTTTCTCCTTTGATGATAGCATTTCCCTACCAGCAGTGGATTTCTTTTTTTTTTTTCAAAAAATAGATGTTCCAAAGACATAAAGGAGGAAGGGATCAGCAAGCCGTCTGGCCGTGAAACGAGATTCTCCCGTGAATTCCACGTACGTTCGCTATATTACATCGCACCAGATGAAAAAGGGAAAGAGGGTAAAAATGAAAAGAGAAATATTTGGGGTAAACGTGACGGTGTGGGTTTTAACATGGCATGTTGAAAGACGCACGGATCATCCAGCACTCGAGAACTTCAGACGGGGATGTTGTTCAACGTGAAATAGCCTCGAGGACTTGAAAGACCGAGGAGGGGAAAATAGGCACATTTACGATGGCCTCAGCAGGGATTTCCCTTCAACCCCCCCCCCCCCCCCCCAATGAGGATGGTATAGGTTAAAGGCAACGGATAAGCTTTCCTTCAAGAGGAGAAATATCAAAGCGGCGTCTCGGAAAAATGTCTATCTCCTTGATCCCTCGGTTCTTCGACACTTTCCAATGTACCAATTCACCCCTCCATCGCTTGAATAAATACCAATTCCAAAATATATCCCGTATTTATCACTAAGTCAAACGCCAAGACTTGCCCGACTATTAATTTTTACGAATTCATTACAAAGAAAATCGATAATTGTTTTTAATTGCATAAAGCATATAGTTTTGTTTGCGGGTTGTATTAATCAAATATTTTTCAACATTAGTAAAAATCATCTGGAAATTATATTAAAATGTATAGCTGTGGTAATTATAATCTGATTAATTTAATTATATAGTATAGCATCGCAATTATCTTTTCAAACTCTAATTAAAGTCCATTGAATATTTCCAAAGTACGAATTTTCGACAATCCTTCTTATATTTCCATATTAGTCTGAGTATATATTACTGTGATATTGCTATTATTTCCATCTTCAAATTCGGGAGATGAAACATCGAAACGAATTTTTTAACCCGTAATTAAAGTACTTCGTAACACTTTTAATACAATTATGTTGAAAAAACTGATTTCTGAAGTACTCAAAAATTGGTTTAAAAAAATATTAATGAATTGAATTTGAGTTAACGACGTCTAGTGGTCCAAAAACACCCGCATACGAGAAAAAAATTATTCAATTTCATGGATCCATCAGCCCCCAATTGAAGTTGAAGTTTGAGTAAATTGCCGCTGGCACACACACGGACGGACATGATCCAAAAATTGGATTTTCCGGCTTTGTAGGTCATAATGGCTCGACGCAACACAAAAATAATAAAAAACTTCAATTTCAACGATTACAATGTTTCCATTTAGAAGAAAACCTGTTGAATTCTGCTACTGATTTTACTGCCAGAATTTATTGAAATTGATTTATCATATTGGGAAAATTATTTTAGATTATTCCAGCGATCTATTCTACTCTATAATGAACTTCTTCTATTTTCGGGACTTTATCTCCTGGACGTACTTTATAAATTGCTAATTCCTCGAGTCTATAAAAAATGTTAATTGTCCATCGAATAATTTAACTCCAATACCCGTCATCATTAATGACTATTCATTGAATTATCTAATTGTACATTATTATTATATTAATATTACGAAATATTGAAGATTACGAATACTTCCTGTTTGATAACTCGACAGAATCGAAGGCTGAGTGGTACATAAACAGAAAATCTACTTGTTTCACTTGAACATCTTCGGAATAATTATAATTATTACCAACTCATAAACAACTTATCAATTTGTTAATCAATTATTGAATTTATAAATAAATCCTGATTCTCCCGGAACAGTCATTTTTTATTTTACACACGAGTCGTGTACCGAAAAGAAAAATCATGTTGAAAAAAAAAAGAAATGAAATATGTAAAGTAAATGAAATTCAAATTTCTTCCAAAGATTTTTTCCTGGACAAAAGTAGAATCCACTAAAATCCACAAATGTCCCCACGCATTCGTGAAAAAAAAAAGCCTAAAAAATCGTGAATTGAAAATCGATGACCCTATTGATCCCCCTCCTCCACCCCCTCGCCCTTCAATGGCCACGGTATTTGCCGAGAGGTGCTCTCAAATACCAATTAGCTAGCAAATCGCCAAGTGCACTATGGACCCAGTCAGTCCACTCGACTGATATTTTTACTTTAAATTTCATTCAAACACTGACGAGAATGTAAAAGCCAGGGCGAATCGAGTATTTTTCATGCTGTAAATTCTGTCGCACTTGTTTCATTATTTTATAAACGTCATGACCATCAGAAATTTTTTTCGATATTCCATAGAAAACATGAGAGTAATTCTCATTAGCGTGACAATCAATCCAATTCAAGGAGGAATCGTTAAATTCGTCAAATTGAAGCACTGAATGAAATTTGTGGAAATTATTTTTTACCAGAATAAATAAATGTGTGAATTTTAAATACTTCACGAAATAATTGAAACGAATATATTTAAATAATTTATCAATTGTCAGATTTGTTGCACCCAATAAACACAGAAAATTAATTAGTTCTACTGAACATATGATAAGGAATATTTTTAACATTGTACGATATTTTTGTTTACTACTAGATACACCTTGAAATGTCAGGCGAATAATGTCATAACTTTCAATTCCACGACGAGTCAGCTTGAAAAACCAATAAATTCAATTTTTCGCGTTCAATGATTATTAATTTTCCAATGAATACCCAACAGAATCAATCATCGTGGTCATATTACCACGGAAATATTTAAATTCTACGTCAACCAACCATTTTAAAATGAAATACTAATTAACTAAAAACTAACTAAACAATATGCAATGAAAAACCATTCCCCCACAAATTTCCTACAATTTTAGACAATAAAAAATTCACCGGAAAATGCGAAAAGTCACACGACTTTGCGGTTGGTAAAAATGTCAAGTTATTTTCTCATGAAATATCGAGTGCGATTTTCTACCAGTCCTGGCGAGAGTGTCATGTGCCACTTGACAATGTGACGAATATACGATCAATGTCGGGGGGGGGCGGTGGGGGGTCAGCCGATAATTCGTTGAGGACTGAATAGTACGGTAATAACCGTCGAGATTTCTATTATACGCGGGATGGGGTTGGATGAAGCGAACAGGGGATTATCCTACCATTGGGATTGTGGTGGCGAATTGGAGAGCCAGTCGCCGGAAACGTGTCTTCACCCTTCCGTTGAATTGTTCAACTGCCAGTCTACGATGACCCCATGAAATTCCAACTACCCTGAATATTGATTATTTTCAAAGCCTCGAGTTCATTATGTAACGGGATTTTCATCATTACGAGATATTCAACCGCATCGAACAATATATCGAGAACAATTCAATCCAGATGATAACGATCAGCAGCTTGTACATGCATTCCTATTGTATTCTTGATAATTTTTATTTATCACTTTTTTTTATAAAAATTTCAAGGGATTATACTATTTGTTATCAGCACGTCTTGTGGATGTGTTTATATATGTATATTTACTGATGAAAAGTTAATATACTTTTCGAAAGAATTTTTTTTCTCAGTGGATTTCATGGAAATTAATAGGATTACACCGCCAAAAATTATTTTGAATGAAGCATATTTCATAGTTGAAGTACTTGTAATAATATAATTACTTCAAGTACATGATATATGTCATATTTAATTCATGAATATGAACATTATATTTGAATTGAGTATACTAATGTTATTTTTCAAGTATTCTTTGAAATAGATTCTAGTATGTTCTGTATAGCGATAAAAATTAATTTCTTAGGGCAAGAAATTAATGAAGATCTTTTCAATTAATCGGGGGATTCACAAATTGACCAGCTCTTCTCGATGAGTAATCAAGAAAACATGGAAATTGAACTTTCAAAAATTGTCTCCGGATACTTATTCATCTTAACTAATAATTAATCTTCGCTTCAAAATACGAAAATTGAATAATCAAACATTTAATTTATTAATTGACCAGATGATTTGAGAATTTGACTGAAAAAGTGCCGGAATATCATAATTTTTAATGACAAGATTTTCCAAAACTCCAATGAAACAATATAAATCTCCGCGTCCCAGCCATTATAATTAGGATGAAGGATTCAATTATTGTACCAGCAACTAACGGAATATAGCAAAAGAAAGCATTAAAACCATTCTTGGTTTTATTGTTTCAGATGGAATCCAGTGTCGGGTGTATTCTAGTGCTGATGGCTGTGGTTTTCATGGCTGGAGACGTCGAGTCGCAGTTCAGGGATAAAAATATAAGTGAGTACAATTACGTTCCTCAGTTCAGCTTCCCCCCCCCCCCCTCCGCCCCTCTATTCAGAATCATTGAGATTCAGGGATTGAATTCATAAAAAAAATTTGCGTCATTTTCACCCACCTATTACGCCATCGATTGACTCTCACTATTTTTACCTCAAACCGAAATAACCGAATCTAGCTGACGGAGGTAAAATTTGTATATAAAATCGACAATTCCACCCTCGCATACGTGAGTCTCTCACTTTTGATCCCTCAATGTTGGTTAACTCTCAAAGATCTCGACCATGTAGATTGTGGAGCGCATCTGAGCACCAGCAAATACCGAAAGAGTGGATTGAGAGGGAAAAGTACAGAGAGCTTGAAAAATCCACCGCAAAATTGGAAGGATCAGTCTGATATCTCTTCACGCTAGATCCGACAGTTGTTCCGGTTTCTTTACCGGTGCGATAGCTCCATTTGGCTTCAAGTGTAGAATCTTTTCACTTGCACACACACAAAAAAAAAAACTCCCTCCAATTCAAAATGCCAGCGAGTTCGATATACAGATGAAAAAAACATCAACTACCACGAATTCATGAGGAAAAACATTTTTTTTATGTTAAAGCAGCAGTTTCGATTAGCAAAAAACGCTATTTTCTTCTTTACAAATTTTTTATCTTGATTTTCACTCTTGCCTTCTCCGGAATTAAAGAAGAAATTCTTCGATCTACGCTATTGAAAATTCCTTGAAATTTCAGTCTCAAAGAGTTTGAATTGAATTTCAATAAAAAAGTATCACCGATTTTTTTTAGTTATGTTGAAATGACGTGAAAGTGGCTTTTTCGTATTGAAGAATGATCGATTTCTCGATGAAAGCCTGAATTTTTGTGTTCATCGTGAGAATTATATATAAAAGCAATTGAATCTTAAGTAGATTACAAACTCAGGGGTATTATTGTTTGAATTTTCAATATTTTTACCGATTTTTAGTGCTACAACGAACTGAAAATAGAGAATTACCAGAATATTCAAGAAATTTAATAATTCGTCCTCGCAGAATTATTAAAAATTTCAAGTTTTTTCTAAAAAAAATCGCCAAGTGCAATTTTGTAACAGTGTAAAGGTTCTGTTTTTTGAAATATAGAATAATCATTTCCTTATTATTAAGAAACTCATTTCCACTGTGTTCTGATTAAATAACAATATTTATCGGCGATTTAACGAACGATCCAGCGTTTGAGCATTATTCCCTCACGAACAACTGCCAGACAAAGTTCAATTTTGTAGTCAATCCATTCAGTTCGAATATTTATTCACTTGGAAATATATATTCAAACACATTTCGAAAACGTTATTTAACCACTACAACATTGCATTAAATCATTGTTGGACATTAATTCGGGCACTCTTCCATTTGAATGTAATTTTATCTCCCATGGATACACCAGTCTATTCATTTAGCTGTGACAGCTGACCTTAATAAACTCCCCAAAGTCGATAAATCGACTCCATCCCAAAATATCTGGCCTCCATAACTGTACAGAGAGAAATTCCTTCGAAAAAATTGTACAAAGACTAAATTCCCCAAATATTCTCTAAAAATTCCCTAATTCCCAGCCAAACCCGATAATTTTGTGAAGAATTCAACAAGCCTGCCTTTTTCTTTAACATTCGCAAAAATTTTTTCAATTCAATCTTGACAAAGCAATTCAATATTAAACATTTTTCCTATAATTCCTCCACATGTGGAAGCAAATTTTTTTCAACAGACAGTTTCTATGATTATAAGAAAACTCGTATGAATTTACATTCCCTTTTTTAAAAATGATTCGATAAGTACGTGGATGAGTACATGGAAATAAAATTTGCGAGTATTTGCAAAGACGACGCAATTTATTATGCATTTTTATTTGACCGGTGCTACGATTTTTCAAAACTCGATGCGTGAAAATCAACACATTATCATCGATAATCTTTGATCATATCTGTGGAATAGAAAAATTTTAACGGCCCTATAAAGCGCTCGTTGAACCCTTGAAAATGGTACTTAATATACTCCCTCAAATTGCCTCGAATGACACGATAATTAGTAATAAACGTGAATTTTAGAGCGTGACATAACGATTAAAAATGTCAAAATCTTCAACTATTAATAATATTAATAATATTAATAAAAATGCAACTAAATCAGCAACAGGTAATGCAGTTTCGAAGAATAAGAAATGTTTCCTCAAATGGTATATAAATATTCCTTCATACACTTTCAATATTGATTTGCTTTGAAAATATTGGAAAATTAAACCAAAACTGAAATTCAGGTCAAATACGAAAATTAAATTTTCACTTTAAAAATCTCCAAGTCGATGAATAATCGTGGGAACCACATAACTCACGTATTTTTTCATTACAACATATTCAACAAGCTTTCAAATAAATAGATAACATATTACCTCAATATGAAAGGAAGAAATTAATTTTCCCCAAACCCAAAGAAAAAGTGAAACTTAAAGAATACTTTCTACAATAATTTATCCTCTCTCCCATTTTTCTACTCATCCAAAGTGCCACCTTTCCCCATAATATTTCGAAAAAATTTAATTCTGAAAAATATCTAAAGTCGCTATCAAACATAAAAATAAAAAAATCAGCTCAATTCACGGAGTTTAATTTATAAAATCACCAGAATATAATAAACATTGAAAAAAATCCTCGATTACATTTACGCTCGACGAATAAATTGCATGATTCCGTATTCATTTAACTATAATCACTGGTGCATTCATGCAACGCGAAATAGGAAACTTGCGTAGTAAATCTCATCCATCGCACCTGTACACACACTATCGTGCGTTTTCCCTCCAACCCAAAACAACACCCATCTCACATTAACGGCTAATCCTCGTTAAATTAACGAATGATCCTCGTCCCGCATCGGAAATGCATTGTCTATT